TTTTTTTTCCAGTTCACCTCAGGTGAAAACACCAGGCCTACTCATCCTCCCCGCTGTGTTCGACTACAAACTGCATCCATTATTTTATCCGTCTCTGTTGTTGCAAACACAGCAAAAAAAAATTTTCAGTGATCAGAAGCTTTGAGGCTGAATATTGGACAGAGTAGCTGAAAGCCATTTTGACTGTTTTATCTCACAGAAGTTCAGCAATCCCCTCTGGGGCCTCTTCTGATAACTAGATTTTCTTTGATTAAAAAAAAAAAAAATCCCCTTGGACTAGAAAATATTAATTAAATTGATCATTTTTACTGCGTGTGAAGCCGCCGGGATGAGAATCAGCACCTCTAGGTCCGAGGCCGTGGTTCTCGACCAGAAAAAGGTGGCTTGCACCCTCCAGGTCGGGGGTGGGGGGGAGAAATTCTGCCTCTGGTGAAGGAGGTAAGTATCTTGGGGTTGGTGTTCACGAGATTGACGGGCGGATGTTAGTAGTGAAGAAGGAGCTGAGCCGAAAGGCAAGGCTCTCAATTTACCGATCAATCTACGTTCCTACCCTCACCTATGGTCACGAACTTTGGGTCATGACCGAAACGAACGAAATCCCGGATACAAGCGGCTGAAATTAGCTTCCTTTGTCCCAGAAAAGAAACCTAGGACACGCTGGAGCGACCATGTCGCTCTGCTGGCCTGGGAACGCCTCGGGATCCCACCAGAAGAGGAAGACTAGAGGAAGTGTCTGGGGGACAGGGAAGTCTCTGGGCGTCCCCGCTCCGACTGTTACCCCCACGACCTCGCCCCGGATAAGCTAACGATGATGGATCATTTTTAATGTAATGGACAGAACCGTACGCCTGCTGTATTGCTTAAATGATAAACAAACGTCCAGCCACTAGGTGGCAGCGCTACCACTCGTGCAGTGGTTTGTACAGTTAAGAAAAAAAACAATTGCAAACCACTGTTTTAGCGCAAATACATAAAATGCTTGATACATATATGTAATATTTCATCAACTCTATCTTGCGAATTTCTGAAACTTCTTCCCGTGAACTGCCGTTTATTTTGAGAAACTCTCACTGACACCACTTATACCGGACACAATATCACCCTCAACCACTCACTCACTCGCTCAGACTCAGAGTCTTGTCACACATTAAGGCACTTTATTTCGTCGCCCTGGCCAACACAACATCCCATTTAGTTGGTTTTCACTCGTTGTCAAAAAAACGACTTTCCAAGTGTCAAGGAGGTTTGAGGACAATAATTAAGTCAGGCAGCAACATATCTTAGGAAACAGGAAATACGTGTTTCTCCAGCCGAGACTGAAAATATTTCCAAAAAGTTGCTGTAACATCAGATTTAACAATTTTACCCTCAAGTCATTTCTAACATTTCCCTCCTCCAAATCCCTGCCTCATTTTATGGTCATTATGGTGAGCCCCCCCGAGGCACTTTTGGCGGTGAATAATGGATGGCGAAAAGTTACTGGAGCTGTTAAAAAAAAAAAAAAAAGAACTAGAGAAAAACATTACAACAAAGATGTAAACTTGTAGTGCATAGCCAAAGCTGACAAGGCTGCATGATCTGTGACGACCACAATTATATGTCAGTACTGTCAGGGTGACTGTCAGACTAACAAGCTGGAAGTACACTCTGTGCACTCACTGCACGGGGAACCGAACTCTCTCTCTCTCTCTTCGGTAGATTATTAGACCTAAAAAGCTCTGATGGTCAAAGAACTGCCACAATCAAAAAAAAAAAAAAAAAAAATCAAAAGCCAGCGCCCTCAACTCTTAAAAACTGCACTTCAATTCATTCCTTAAGGGATAAAAATACACATAAAACAATCAATACAGGCGCCTATTGTATGAGACGGGACAAGCAAAACAAAATTTGTTTCATGATATTTAGCCTAGACCTCAATATCATTAGCAAACAAACGAACAATTAAACAAAAAACAAAATACTGTATTGTTTATTTGTAACAGCAGAATAAAACCCGTGTTCTGTTTTTCTAGCAAAAATCTCAATTGTAAAAAATATATAAAATCCACATTGAAGAAAAATCAAATAAATATCTGTTGTGAGTCAAACCACAAAATGACACATCAAACATTCGGTGATGAAGGTGAAAGATAACCCTCATCACCTGTAGGCGTATGTTTTGAGGGGTATTTTGCTTACGAGGTTTACTTGTAAAAATGGACTTTGGACTCTTTGGTCTCATTTTCAACCATCTCCGTCTTTTTCTTCTTTTTCTTCCGGCTTTGTCCCTTTTTTTCAGGGGTTGCCGCAGCGAATCATTCATTTCTATATTGCCCTGTCCTCTGCGTCTTCTACTCTGACTCCAACCATCTGCATGTCCTCCCTCACTGCATCCGTATATCTCCTCTTTGTCTCCTACCTGGTAGCTCCATCTCTAACATTCTTCTACCAATGTATCCACTGTCCCTCCTCTGCACATGTCCAAACCATCTCAATCTGGCTTCTCTAGCTTTTTCTCCTAACCTTCCTGTCTGTGTTGTCCCTCTAATGACCTCATTCCTGATCCTGTCCATCCTTGTCACTCCTTAAGACAATCTTAGCATCTTTAACTCTGTCACCTCCAGCTCCGCCTCCTGTCTTCTGCCTATTGCTACTGTCTCTAAACCATACATCATGACTGGTCTCACCATCGTCCTGTAAACCTTTCCATTCACCTTAGCTGACACCATCGTTCAACCATCTCTGTGACCTTCACAAAAAAAAACATAATTATTGTTTACCTTAAAGAAATGTAATCAAATATGGGTAAATATAAATGAATCATTCATCTGAAATATAACCTGTTTTGATCATAGGCTTCAAGGAAAGTTTGTTTGAATGTTCAAACCGGACCTTTATAAACCCTTGGTGCAGTGTTTTTAGGCCATTAAGGAGGGAGGCCGGCGTAATTATGAAAATGAGCTGAGGGAGAATGAAAACGACCTGACTGTAAAACAAGGAGCTAAGTCCTCCTGTGCAGAACAGGGTTTGATTGATTCCCAGCAAATGAGCCTAAGGCGCCACCGTTGGCAGTCCAGGGTTCACGCTGTAATGATAGTTTTATAATTAAGATTAAAGACCACGGAGCACAGACAAGACACTCAAGTGGTGTCGGGAGCTTCTCCGATGACACTGGGAATCATTTAAGTGGGTTTCTGACACACCTAAGAGTGGGCCAAAGGCCATGTCGAAATGCGACCAAAGATGGATTAAAAAAAAATTTCTGCCTGATAACGTTTTAGTCATATGAGGTACTAGAAGCACCAACCATGAAGCATCACCAATTACACAAGTACACAAGGTGATTATCCTTTACATATGTGGCTTTTACTTGCTTCGGAAACATAATGGAATACGGTTTCAAGCCAAAAAATAACCTGAAACATCTACCTATCTACCTATCTATTTATCTATATCTATCTATCTATTTATCTACCTATCTATTTATCTATATCTAGCTATCTATCGATCTGTCTGTCTATCTAGCTATCTATCTATATATCTATCTATCTTTCTATATCTATCTATCTATTTATCTATATCTATATCTATCTGTCTATCTATCTACCTATCTATCTATATCTATATCTATCTATCATCTATCTATCTATCTGTCTGTCTATCTATCTATCTGTCTGTCTGTCTATCTAGCTATCTATCTATATATCTATCTATCTACCTATCTATTTATCTATATCTAGCTATCTATCTACCTATCTATTTATCTATATCTATCTATCTTTCTATATCTATCTATTTATCTATATCTATCTGTCTATCTATCTACCTACCTACCTATCTATTTATCTATATCTAGCTATCTATCTATATATCTATCTATCTATTTATCTACCTATCTATCTATCTACCTATCTACCTATCTACCTATCTATCTATCTGTCTATCTATCTATCTTGCTATCTATCTATCTACCTACCTATCTATCTATCTGTCTGTCGATCTAGCTATCTATCTACCTACCTATCTATTTATCTACCTATCTATCTATCTGTCTATCTATCTATCTATTTATCTATATCTATCTATCTACCTACCTATCTATTTATCTATATCTATCTATCTATCGATCTATCTATCTATCTGTCTGTCGATCTAGCTATCTATCTATATATCTATCTATCTATCGATCTATCTATCTATCGATCTATCTATCTATATATCTATCTATCTTTCTATATCTATCTATCTTTCTATATCTATCTATTTATCTATATCTAGCTATCTA